TTTTTTTTTTTTTTTTTTTTTTTTTTTTTTTTTTTGGAACATTTTCAGGTGGTCTGATCCTTGGAGATGGTAAGAGAGCATCCTCCAATGGAGGGTTGCTCGTATTATGATGGCTCCAATCCATGAGGCTCACCTTACGAATGATCACCTGGGCCGAGGTCCCACTAGCGAAAAGGATAGGATGGAGCTCCTGAATCTGGATGTGTTTTAAGCAGAGATGCAGAAAAGCAGTTCAAATCTCGCTTTCCTGCACATCTCCATAAACTCGTCCAGATTCAGGCATTCGATCCGATCCTCTTTGCTAGTGGGACCACGCCCCTGGAGGATGAGGTGCTCTCATGGAAGAGAATAATTTTTTGGGTTTTCCTCAGGCATGGGAGGAAATAATTGAGAATTTGAGACCATAAGAGTGGGAACTCGCGCTGCCTGCAAGGAGAAGAAAACAAAAATGTCAACAGCAAACAACAGAGCCTCAAGCAAAACAGCAAATACTGGGTACCTTCCCAGTATAATCTAGAGATAGACCAGGGGAGGGCTCTGTGTGAGCAGGATCAAAAAAATAATATAATCTAGAAAAGATGGGTGACCACAGAAGCCAGCTGGGAAAGACTACCTCCCGCCATCACTTCAGGGTGGCTTATCTTTGAACCAAACTTTGTGCCGATTACCCTCACAGACGACAATGACCAGGTGCACAGCACCTCAGATTGGGTACCAAAGACTCCAGATAACAATGGGGAACGCCGACCAAAGATACGTAAACCCTAACCCCTAACCCCTAACCCTCTTATTCTTCTTCATCTGTCTGACCTTTACATGCCAAACTCTCCTTGTTCTCGCCCTTTTTTTTTCCGTCCCCCGGCCCCCCCCCACCCCACCCCACCCCACCCCACCCTCTCAAAATTTAATTTCCAGTACTTCATCAGCTTAGAGGCCGGGGACCTCTGCATTACTCCCGGTTCAACGCAGGTATCTGGAAGCATCATCCAGGTTAGCTTTTACAGGCTGAAAGCCTGCAGGTCTTTTCCTACAGACCCAGCAGCTCTTGTCCT